TTCTTGCAAATATTTTTACAAATTTACACTATTTTAACAGTGAAAGAACTCACATTCATTGAAACTTATCTGCAATTCTGCCACATTAGTCTGTTTCCGCCAACGTGTGGCGCACAACCTGTCGACCTTTTTTTTTTATTTTTGCATGTACAATTGTACACGTTTCCAATATCCAATAGAACTAAGTCATCTGTACCTGTTCTTTCTTAATTTAAGGTTACTTACATTACTCCTATGCAAGTCCCTAGTCCCTAACTGTAACTGATTTAGAACCGGCATGCACATTATTCTTCGCACTGTAAAACGACATTGCGCATGCGTCAGTAACTTCTGTTCGAACAAACCTGACCTGCAGTCCGGGTCAGCAATTTTGAAAAGGTGGCAACACTATATGCACATCACTGTTTTTCTTCATTATATAATCAATACGACATCTTTATACGTGACAAACATTAATATGACAAGTTACTAATTAATAAACCAAATACTAAACCGCAATTTACATATAAATCTACGTTCATAAATTATACAACACAGACACGGGTAGTTGAGTACAGAGGTAGTCGTCGCAATGCCTCACGAGGGACAGAAGCATTTACAAAAACATCAAGTAAGGTTACAGTCTCGTCATTTTTGTTTATGGGAAACTGTACCACTCACGTGCCACTTTGTACATTATATACGTTTAATAAAATAACGAAAAGTTTGACATCCCATTCGGCACATCATTCCCCGGTACAATTAAGGAATCGACCGAGGACAAACATCAGGCATTTCGTGGTTACTCCGGACAGCATCCAAACATCACCAGAGACAAAAAGTACAAAAACGGCACCACGTAATTTACAGACAATTCCCGGCCAAGCAACGAAGAAGTCAGAACAGACTTTGAAACACTCCAAAGGCCCAGGCGGAGAGATTTAAATAATAATTCTTTCGGGTTTCCGCCCACGTGCCAAACTTACGATTCGAGCGAATTAGCGCATGCACCCAGCCGGCACACGTGCCAGTCTGCCCGAACTGCATAAATATACAAATTTATAATTGTAAGCCAGATTATGAAACACGCACGTTCCTTTACAAGTTGTACAGTATAATTATACAAGCTATCAAAACCATTGTTGTAAAGCATTAAATTTGAATTTACGTGTGTACATATGCATGCCCATATGCACATGGGTGCATAGGTATTAAGCAAAACAAATATTAAATTTTATAAACGTTACTAAATTCAAACTAAATCAAGTATATAGAGAGCAAATATTCTTACATCGCACACGATCTTGCGGAGTATTTTAAGACTGACTCTGTACGGATTACGAATCAGAGATAACTGTCTTTGCCATAACTGCTCGACAACGTTACAATCCCTTTTTATTTTTGGCATGGAACTAGTTTACTTTCGCAACGGAAATGACGTTAAGAGTACACTACATCATTCTTTGTTGTTGTTATCGTTTGCCGATGTACTGTACGCCCCCTGGAAGTTGTAATTGACGTAACTTTTTTTTTATTTTATAAATTTAGCCACTGATTTTATTTAGCCACTGATTTTATTTTTAAATGTTTAATTTTTTATTGCTTCAAAAATATTGTTTAATATTAATACTAATTATAAAATATACAAAAGAGATATCTTTTTTAAAACAATTCCTTATGGGAAGTGAAAGTTTTTTGAAGTTCATCGTAGGTTCTGCCCGTCCCACTGCGGGTCAAACCCAAGGTCCTAGAATATAATCTAGAACCTTGGATCGAACCTACTTGGCCGGGTGGTGATGAACGACACTCGACATATCCGGGAAGGATCGCATGAAAAATCACTGGAGTTTTTCGACTTCCCGTATACTCTTGGCGGTAGGGGCCCACCAGTGGCCAAGAGGTCTTCGTACCCTAAACACTGGGAGTTCGGTCGTGGGTTCGCGCCTCGCTCGGACGGGCTGGCCACGTGGAGTTTTCCAGGTTTTCTCCATGTCTGTGAAGCCTAAATAGGGGCCAGTTTCCCCTAAAAAGACCTCCCGGAAGGCATTCCCCCTTGGCAAATCGCCCAAGTGTTGCGTTGACATAACTAAAATCAAAACAAACAAACAAACAACTCTTGGCGGTAGGCCGAGACCTTAATAGATTAAAAGTAAGCGCAAAATGTACTCAGATGAATTTCTGAATTACGTCATGTCATGTAATAGCCGATTGATCAATATGTTGAAATTTAAAAAACGGCTTATTATTTTATAATTATTCGACATTTTTAAATAAAACCATCGAAAAGACACGTATGAAGTGATCAGCTCTCAAAACAACTATTAGACATACGCAGACTCTTTCTAGATAGTTTTCTAGCTTGATATCGCTATTATCTCTCGTTGTAAATACCGATTGAGTAAGTCCAAAACGATCCAATGAATCAATTTATTCAAAATTGAAAAGGTCCATAGTATTCATCATAGACATTAAATATGTTAAATTTCTTCCAAATCGGTTCATCGCTCTTTGAGATATTAAGGGTCCAAATTTTTAACATTAAATTGAGTCGCTACGCAACAATAAAATTTTCTTATTGTTGAGAGAGAATCTATTGTTGACTCGTGCGTTTATTTATTGCGATGGCTTTCTCGAGGTTTGCTTCGTTTGCAGCGATTGTTTAAGTAAGTTAAGACTATGATCTTTCTAGATTTAAATACTGTTTAACTTTGATAAGCAAAATATCACAATTGAAGGCGATGAAAATTAACTTATTGTTAATTTTCAATCGAATTGTTAAAGCAAAATAAAGACTTTATTCCCACTCTTTCCGCCCTGTGGGTACTAAGAGGGTCTCTTTTTAGCAGCGCATTTTGGGTTCGGCCAGGCCCACAATGCGTGAGGGATGGGGTCGACATGTCCGGACGGAACCCCCGAAAAATTCCTGGGGATTTTTCGGATAATCTGTGCTTAACGGGACACCAGTCATTTTTACTACTATTTTTAGCGAATTAGATAGTTTATTTCGTAATTCACACATGTTTAATATTACAATGAATATGTTGTAACAATGCGCGAAGCACCTCCTATTGTTTCGGCACCGCGGGACCGAAGGGTCGACACCACTTTGTTGATTCCTGCGTTGTCAGGATTTAGACACCATTGTCTTTTCGGACAGACACAGAAACCTTTTGCGCGAGCGGTCGCGTCTGTAGGCGCTTGGATTCGGGATGGAGACGGATTGGACGAAAGAAGTGCCCTTTACAACTCGATTATAAAAGAATAATACCCGTTCATTTATGTAAACTATTTACACATAAAGGATAACAGAGATTTCTGTTATAGCTTTTATATAGCGTCATATAATGAATAAGATTTATATAGCTTAACATAATTGATTAGGCTTTATATTAGTAGGTACTGTTTTAACGGGTTCCTAACCGAGAGAGAGCTTACATTTTTTTACACGCGATGCTAAATAACTTGATCGATCGAATCGGCTTGATCGAAGTCTTGAAAGGTCGCAAAACGTTCTGATGACGGGGTGGAAAGGTTTCAGCTAGATTGGGTAGAGTTAGGCTCCTTCATGGTACAGTTCACTAACAAAAAAATAATAATAATAACGCCCACCATCTAGAGGTATAAACGGGTCACTATATCAATTGTTCGTTGCTAAAGTGTCTACGGCGAGCAGCGGTCGAAGGAATCAGCGATGGAGCACGGTTAAATTACACTCACATGAAAAGGAGGTAGATCGTGAACTCTCTGTGTCGTCATCGGACCCGTTCTTTTAATCTGGGGGTCTTCCCTTCACTGTTCATGCCTTTCTTTCGGCCATGGTGAATATCTGTAATTAGTTCCCGGTGACATATTTGATTTGTCACCTGGGAAATGAAGTGACTCCAGGTGAAAGATGCGATCATCCTCCGGTAATTAAATTAAAATTTTTCGCTGGGATTTAAACCAATTTAAGAAAATTTTGTTTTCCCCAAAATTTTCGTTAAGTCCGTGTTTAATTAGAGACTGCGTTTAAATCACTATAACTGGCCAAGTCAACTTACAATAGGCCTATATAGATTGTATTTCAACCGATGTTCTACTAGTAAAGAATTTCACTACAGAATAACGGATATCCGTCACTGGAATGCAAGTGTTGAACATTTCCACGTTGAACTTTAACCAAAAACACAATGCAGTCGATATACAGTATGTCCAGAATTATAATTACTTCAACAATTAAAACTGTACATGGAATTTTCACGATTGTATATAAAACTTATTACATTTCATATTAGACTAATTGTTTAATCTGCAGTCCGATGTGCTGAAATCCGAGATTCGCTGCAATGCGAGCGGTTAGAGACAAGTACGAAGTCATTTTGCGCTTTTTTCTTAAAATGTTTTTGGTATCGAATGCGGGAGAAAACAGAAAACCGATGCAAATAGACTTACACTAAGAAGGGGACTTGAGTTTTGATTTTGTTGTTTTTATAGTGTTTTGGGAAAGGCTGTTTCTTGCTATAAATAAAGCTACAATTTCCAAGAGCGGTAACCACTTGCTTGTTATCTACGGCATAATATAATGAGCTCTCTTATTTTCGAGATTCGAGATAGGGCACTTGAATTGCGTACGTGACTAAATCCGAATTATCTGCGTTTTAAAACAACGGAGATAAATAAGAATATTTCTTTTAATTAATTTATTCCATTATGGCGTGAGATTTTTTTCGGAAGTGTGACCTTTCAAGGCGGACAAATGGCCGAGTGGATAAAACTACCGAACACCAGTAGTCGGTCGTGGATTCTCGCCTGGTCACGTGGTGTTTTCGAGGTTTTCTTCACGTTTAATAGGGACCAATTTCCTACAGGAAGTCCTAATGGGAGGCATCCCCTTGGCAGATCGAGTCTCGCATTGCGGTAAACAAATAAACTAAATCCGACTTTCGAAACGGTAATACTTTTATTCAAACAAGAAAATCGTTTTATTAGCCATTTTAAATGACAAATTTTCCTCGAGTTACTCTATTTTTATAGCCATTCGAACTATTTTTGCATAGCGCCCTCTTTCGAGTAGAGAACTAACGAAAATCGAGTATCGATTAATAGCTAGAAACCGTTCGAGGTTTGAACAATGGCGGCGAAGAGGAACGACGGTGCCGATTCCGTTATCCTCAAAGTACGAGTTATTTTTTCGTATTTATCCGCGGACCGCACCAACGATTTAACGTAATTTTATAAATTTTTCGTATTTCAGTGGAAGATCGACGACAAACCCGTCAAAGTAGACAAATGGGACGGAGCTGCAGTTAAAAACGCTCTAGATGACGCCGTTAAAAAGGTAAAATAAATATCGTTTTTATTGCGAAATTCGTCGACCGTCCATTAATTAATTAATCGAATATTTTAAAAATAGTTTTAATTTCAATTAATTTTATTTATGCGAAAATAAGCGCCGACAATTTCGCAATTTCTTTATAAAGCGCCCTCTTTACGACGATCGACTTTAAATGGCGGTCGCATCACATGACGAGGGAAACGCTAGAGGGGGGAAAAATATGTCGAGCGGATGAATTAGTTTTTGTCGAGTTTCGTTCGATCTAAAAAATTGTTTAAAGCGATTCTTTAGTAGCCCGGAACTTAATAAATGGAAAGTAGATTAAAGAAGAACGCTGGCCGAGTGTAACTTGTCTAAACGGCCTTTTTTAACTATGAAAGTCCAAATAGACGAGTTACACTCGATTTATATCGTTGCATAATAAATTATTTCATAAATCGACGCAAACGATAGCAGAGACAAATATTCCCCCACGGTCGATTTTTGAAAATCCGAAGACCCCTGAAATTTGTCGGGCACGCCGACGCCCTAGAAGACACTAATGGATTAAACATCGGGCATTTGTAGCAATAAATATACGAGTGGAGTCGATTTTTTTTTTCCTTAAAGGTTTTCAAAGAAAAATTTAAGCTGAAAGAAAATCACCGACTGATGGATGGCAGATTGATCTTCTCCACCGTGGCCGTGTCGGCCGCCACCTTCGCCCTCCTCTGGGATATTTTTCACCCCTTTCCCGAATCTCGCTCCGTTCTGGTCTGCTGCGTCGTTCTATATCCTTTACCGCATTTAAAACTTTTCAAATTTTATACCGTAATTTTCTAATATAAGCTTTATTTTCCGTGTTTTGTTTACGACTAATCGGTCGTCTAAAGAATCCGGCGAGTTGCTTAACTTTTCCGGCAATATTTAAAACTGAGTTTGTGGCGCCATCTGTCAGGATATTTTAATATTAAAAACTTTTCATATTTTTAGTTATTATAAATTGGCAAAAAGCTTAATTTCGAGAGTAGGGATGGATTTTATAAAAAGTGGTAAATGCTAATAACGGGTAAAATCGTCATTAAGTCCGACCCTACTAGAGATACGACACGCGACCCCTTTTACTCCTTACCCCTCGATCTTTAACCACCAAAATTTAATAGTATCGATCCCTTAATATGAGGTAAGCAATTTTTTTTTGGCAAATCCGAGAACACTGTCAATCGTCATTTTTTAGGGTACACGGTAGCATCTTACATGTACTCTACACTACAAGTAATGGCAAATGGGTACTATACTGTATGTACTGTACGCATGACTGAGATCTAAACATTAACTCTCCTCCAATAAGGTTTGTAGCTAAATTTTTTGTTGGGATGCAATTCGAAAAAACTGTAACCTATAAATTCCCACTATCGTCCGTACGCTTGTCTGTCCTTTAATCTCGAGAACGGAGTTAAATGAAAGTCGAGATCCGATATGAAAAGCTTAGCGGCAGGAAGCCCCGATTAACTACAGTATATACGAACTTCCCCTTTGAACCGGAAATCACGTTATTTCGGTTCAAAATTTCCCCCAAAAGGAGTTAGATGGGCATGTACGGGGGGCAAGACACTATTTAAAAAAATCGAAAACACCGTGACGAAAAATTGCAGTTCGGTATTGTGACAATAACCATAACGAAACGAAAAAACGAGGACAAGCAAGACTCCATCTGGGGATGGGTCAAAAATTGGCAGTCCCCGATTTCCGATACCCTACCTAATACAGTCCTTTGCAAAGTTTCAGAAATTTTCGAATACCCATAACAAACATCCATACATACAGAAATTACCCCCTTTTTCACCTCTCTCGACGTTTCGAGGCGTCCTAGGTTCAAAAATGTAAAAATATTGATTTTTGACCCATCGTTATACTTTCCCTCTGTTATATATAACACAGGGAAACAAACTGGTTCCGTTATATATAACAGAACCAGTGTAAACACTACAGTTTGTTTCTATGACACCGTGGTTTATCAAAGAGCGAGTACAAATATAGTACCAATTACGAGGACCCTTACAAATACTATCCGTGATTACGTGGGACACGGAGTGGGTCGAGAGGGAAGAAAATGCAAATGGACTGGACGGGTAAATGCGGTTGGGGATTGAATTAGATATTTTTCTGAAGTAATTTAATACACTTTTGGCATATATTTATAATTCAGAGTTTTGGCATTTATTCATAAAAACCGAACAGGAAAATGAAGAAAAAACTGCATTTATGAGAAACCGGGTTATAGAAGTGCAAAAGGAATTAAAATTAGGTACTGTAAGTATAGTACAGTACGTTGGTCTTCTTTATGAACTTCAATAGATCTACTAGTTCCAGACTCCCGTGTAGATGTATATTATTTAGGAATATCAACTGCAATTAAACTGCAACGTGCAGGAAGAACATAGATAATAGCTGCAGAGAATCTATGCAGCTATTATCTATGTTCTTCCTTTTAAGTATTACAATTTCTCGTATTTATCACAACACGAGCTATTTGTGTTTCTCATCATGCAAAGTGTTTTGTAATAACGGCAGCAGCCACCCAAGATGCATCGTTATACCGCGGAGACTTAATGTAAGTTATGTTTTTGTTTTTTTTTAGATGATAATTATTTCTGTTTGGGTTTAATAAACTATTCTTAAAAATATTTTCCTTAATTTTGAAAACGTATTTTATTTTGATGGCGGTTCTCACTACTTATACCACATTTATCGAGCAGGGAATTTTTCTATTAGCAGTAGATCGAGACCCGTCGGGTCTCGATCCGGATCACAAGTGGACGGCTAGATCCTGTCTGAAGAGGTACGACTGGTATTTAATTGGCTATGGTGTCCTTTCCGTTTTCTTTAATAGGTTCGAAGTATTATTGTCGAATTTTACCCTTTTTAGATTCAGCGACAATTATAATTTACTGATTACGTTTACGGACGGCAAGACGAACGAAATGAGAGAATCCAAGCTGTCCAAGTCGGTGGGCAACTGGTTCGACGAAAACGGTATCCTCCTCTACGACTTATTCGAATTGGAAGTGTGTAAACTTCACAACGAATTACTTACCGATAAAAAACAAAAATAATTTTTCTCTACCTATTCCACGCCTGTCGTAACTTTTAACTTATTTCGAAATTGGTGTATTCTTGCTGAAATATATATAAAATTTACAATTAAATTTTTATTTCGTTTCTACCAAACCTTTAAAAATATTCTTACCTTTATATTTAATACGAATGTACGATTTTCGCTACGTCCTTAATGTCGTCCGGAGTCGTTCTGCAACATCCACCTAACCAGCATCCTCCCAAAGACATCCATTTTGGTACGTAACTGGAAAGTGGTGTTTCTTCGGCTTGTTTTGTCCATCTTCGACAAAAAAAATTTATAGAAAGATCAAAATTAACTCCGTGGAAAATTTTGTTAGAAAATAAATAACAAACATTAGTGATTTTCCTGTGTTCTTGCTTTAAAATCTCTTCTGGATAATTAATATTGTATGCTAAGGTGTAATTATGAAATATAAGAAATATAATTTAAGTGAAAATTTTTCTGTATATATTTGCCTCCTTCATATAAATTAATTTAACTAGAACATATTTCTTTTGCTACTAAATTTTTATGAATTAAGTGTGTGTATTATTGTGTGATATTTTAAAATTTTTTGTTTTGTGTATTGTGTTTAACATTTTAAATAAACCTTTGATTTTTTTTAATGGCTTTAGATTTTCTAAGATATGCTTGTTAATCTGTTTTAAGTACAAGAAGTAATGTTAATCTAATGTGTTTGAATAAACAGATTATCTTTGAGATAATTCCAAAATTGTGGGTACACTAAACACTAAGGGTAATCGCGATCTATGGTTCTTCTATATGGGCTTTTGCCGCTTTCTTAGAAGTCACAAAAATGCCACTTTTTCTAATTCTTGCATTTGTTGGTACAGGTGCTGTAGCAAAAGCTAATGGCTTAATGGAATGCTTCCTTGGAGTGATATTTGTCAACGGAAGGACCAGAATCATTTGCAATTTTAAAAAACAGCAGAGAGAATTCCTCAAAAAAAGTTCATGTCGACCAAATAAAATAGTCAACAAAGATGAATAAGGATTGCAAATCGTTCTGTTGGAATGCATAGTTGAGATTCGTACTTTCGTAGAATTAGCTTTTCTAAACGTGAGAAAAGCTTCTTGTCGTCTCGTCTTTCGTATCCCTACTATAATAGACACGGTTTAATACAATTTGTCTGTGTTCCAAAAGTTCTTATTCAACTGATAGCTAGTGTGGTGAAGTTCTGAATCCATTTGGACATCATATTCCACTGCATGTTTTTCTGATGTAGTATTAGGAATGTTAGTCATAATGCTGAGACAAGTTCGTAACAGTTATTGTCCAAATCTGTGCCATTTGCACCAGCTGTTTTATTAAGCATTGGTTGTTACGATCTGTACCATACCAAAGAAAATGGATTAGTATTGTATTTCAGATTTTGTGGAACATTTATTCAAAAAACAATTAAATGTGTTTTTGCTTAAACTACAAATTAAGCATTGTCAGTTGAACTTGAAGTTCAAAACAAGCAAATTTTGAATGCACATGTTTGAAAGTTTTAAAACTTTAAAATGTATAATTTGCATTTTTAATAGGATATTTGGAAATTTATAATTTTTTCATACAAATAATAATATAGCCCAAGACTTGTGAAATGTTGACATACTGTACTGTACAAGGAGAAATACTACATCCCTTACATATCTTTAAACTGTACATATAGTTTCTGCTAACTCTATATAACTCTACAAAACAAAGTATTCAGATTTCTAGATATAAATAATAGTTGTGTATTTTCCCATCTCTGTTTGAAATTACAGTAATTTCTATGGCTAAAACAGTCATAGAAATTGTGTTTTGCCTATGATATATTTCATTTCTTCTGTTTTATAATCTGTTTAAATTTGTTTATACTATGTTTAATCTGTTTATACTCTGTTTCACCAACATAATGTCCTACTTCTGTTTTTATACTGACCTCTGACTTCTATCTACTTTCTTTCTGATCTATTGTTAATGCATAATTTGCATAAAAGGTAATGAAAACAGGCAGCCAAAAAAAAGAAAAACCTTACGTAATTTTATCATAGGAGTTGGTGAGAAAATAGTTTTTTGTTATTTGGTGTTAACATAGCCAACAGATATAATTAAAGCTTAAGTTTAGTACTTGATTGCTTCTTGTTTTCTCTTTTGTTCTTTGGAATTAAACACAAAATTGTATATAGAACTTATCACACAGGAACATTTCTTGATGAAAAAGGTAGGCCTCTATGTAATACATCTCTGTAATCCAACAAATGGTAGACGGACTCACAGCAAATTTTCAGTTAGGAACTACAATTTTATTCTCAAAAATGACAAATGCATTTCAGGTTGGCACAATACATCCCAACTCCTCCTCAGTGCTAATTTTTAAAAATAATCATGTCCTAACATTTCAGCTCTTTTTGTAAGTTCAGCTAATTTTGTATCCATTTCTATTTTTTTCTGGATTCTTCACTATATAACTGGATTACATAGAGATCTAATATACAGCAATCCAGTTATGGGTAAATGTAAGGGTAAACATAAAAAAGTTTAAAATGAATTATTAAAAAAACTCTAAAATAAAAGGCATAAAATGCTACACTGTACATTTATCAGGTAGGCTGATTGTCATACAGTACAGTGAATTAAAAAATTAGCAGGAAGAGGGAGGAAGAACACCTTAAATGGACTCTTATTTTGAAATAATAGTTGTCAAATCTCACTGATGATAATGCCAGGGTTTAAATTCATTCTATTATTTTCATTGATTTTAATAATTTCTAGATGCTCATAAAGTTTTCTTTTTATAATATTTTTCTCTCTTGGTTTTTAAAATCCAAAATAAGAGCATATTTGCACAGTAAAGTATAATTACACTAACTCAGCAGTTGCCACACATTGCAATCATGCTGGTTATGAGATCTCACTGGACAGCCTCAAAATTCTTAATAACTTAAAAAATATTGCAGGTAGTTAGCAAGTTTATTTTCTAAATTAAGTGGAAGATGATTACATTTATTCACTAGAGGTCTTAAAAGTCAATTTGCTTTATGAATTTTGGCTTTAAAGAAAATTCTAGAGGCAGCTATGATAGCTGAGCATAGTATTACCCTTATACTTATAAGGGTAATACTATGAACTTTGAACTTGCACATTTGAAATTTGTTGCTTGTTTCAAAATTAGTCCAACCAATTCATTCAGACGTAATTAAAAGTATGACATTATTTAATATGTTGTAAATCAATTTATTAATATTTATTAATATATTGTGTTGAAGTGATTCTCTATGAGGGAAAAAAGGAAAGGTGATTTGGTATTGATTGGTTTTGAATCTGCTTACTGTAATTGATTTGGAAATTGCCCATACTGATGATAATTATCAACTGATAACACCTGCAAGGTAGGTGAATAAGATTATGAATAATACAATTCATAATACGATAATACGATGAATAATATGATTCATAATCTTATTCCAGAAATAATAATTTTTGATGTCATTAAAACTAGATAGAATTCTACTTTATTGAAGTTAAAAAGACATATTAAAACAATTAAAAAATGTATAACTTAATAATAATTCATCCAGCATACAATTCAAATAAGAAATGACAGCAATTTAAAGCCATTGTACTATTATAATTTTTAATCAAAGTTTGAAGTACTGGTTAAGACTTGTGAGATTCTGGAGGGGAGCAATTAGGTAATTAGATTAATTAGTTAAACTAATACGCAGTTAATGCGGAAGTGGAAAAAACCCACTTTCTTTCCCCATCACCTGGCATTGCTGGTGACCTCTGACCACAAGGACAATCAAATAACTGTACAAATCAACAATTTAACAATGTTTTGAATAAGTGTCAAGAAAATCTAAACATATGGTTATTAATGAGGGGAAACATCCAAATCAGTTAAATTATGAGGTAAGAAGAGTCACAACACCTCGGTGACATCTAAGAACTTTGAATTTGTTGCCTTATATGGTAACAAGAGTCAGAGCACCTGGCAAAGAGTATCAACAATCTGGCCAGGTTGTCAAAGCCATACAGCCCATATCAGCCAGACCAGTGACATATCTCAAACTCAGACCGCATTAAATCAAAATCACCTGATTCGACTCCCATACTCCGGGGGAATAAAAAGGGCTCAAACTCAATCATCGTGGTGGACTTCACAATAGAAGCAGGTGACCCAAGGCTCCCATCCAGCCATTCTCCAGGCCAACTTGTTTCTCCAAATGTCTCTCCTCCAAACCTGTCGCCAGATGCCTAAAGCAGGTACATAAATCCAATAGAGGTATTTTACTTAACGAAATGTAAACTCTCTCTCTCATTCAACTTAGATCTTAAACTTAGAGACAGTATATATCCCATAGATATTGGATCATATAGGGATGCAAGTGCTATATGCTACACATATATTAGTAACTATAGCTAGTTATTGTAAATTGCTTTATTTTCCTATTAAAGTTATTGTTTAGTTAAACTGGCCTTGACTCCAATTGTTCAAACTGGTCACCCTATCAACTTACCTACGACCTCCCCACTTAGCAATAGCCTTCCTATTTACATTAAGCCATCCAGTGACATTGAGACCATATCTCACCGGGTACAGCACAAGGATCAAGTCTGACCCACAGATTGAATCTCACACTATTAACAATAACTGATAATTGCACATTAGCCAAATGTTGATACTGATAGCATGAAAAATAAAAAAAGCTTGGTAACATCTACCTGAATATAGATGATGATGTTTGAAATAATATTAGTAGAATGTCTTTTATTAATGCAATTTTGATCAATGTAATTTATTTCAAAAGAATTGTGTGTAAAGAATTTAAATATGACCAATAGTGTAAAGGTATTTGTAATAAGTAAAGTAAAATTTTGACTGTTACTTACAGTTTTTGCTGGACAGCTGATATATTTTTGTATCATTAAAAAGTTTAGACATTTTAAGTCATTTAAATATATTTAAAATAATAAATTTCTGTAGTTAAAAAGTTAAGAAAAGTCTTAATTTTTAAAATTAACTTTCACTTAAAATAACTTAAGACTATATACTATACTGTGTATACATATATCATTAATTTTTCTAAGAAAAAAATTTGATAAATGCCTTTCTTAATATGAATCATATACAAAATTTAAATACAAATTCAATTCATGCATCAGTAAATTGACTTTTAGAGCAAAATGCTTCAAACATTACTGTATTAATATCTACATTTTACAAAATTATTTCAAAAGTTGCTTCTAGCTCTTGGTATAATTATATTAATTAAATTATCAACAGCCATGTGGCAGATAATAGTGATGGCTTATCAGATAATAGTGATAAGCCATCACTATTATCTGTCTCATGGTTGTGGATAATTTAATTAATATAATCTAGATTTTAAATAAATTATTTATTATCTTCACACAAAACACATTCTTGCTATGTATTAAAACATTGGTAAAATCTAAATACCAAACATCAAATTAGTAAACATCTGTCTTAGCAAAGTAAAATGCAGGTCATTTTCAGTTGTGCAAATGTGTTATTTTGTCCATGTTAATGACTACCATGAATATTTATAAATATAATTTGATAAAAATCACCCTAAAATAGATTTTTCTATTTCATTATCATCAAGTTATAACTTATATGTGAATGCTAATATCACCAAATATCAAGATTATTTAACAAGCAACTTTTTTTTTAAGCTGTTATTTTCATAGAGAAAACTCCCCAAAATTCTTAAATTTTCCAGATGAGGAAACAACTGCAATATGAATAACTAAGAAATAATCCCTATAAAAAACTGATTACCCTTTTTTGCTTTCCCATTCTTCTCCACTATTTGGATAAGCAATTTTAACCACATTTGGTGGCAAATGACCAATGTTATGCAGAAGGGATTCCACGTAACTCGGAGGACAGCAATTTACTCCAACGGCCACCAGCTGATCGGGAGGTGCAATTCTTAAGCAATTTTCAACCACTTTTGACAATTCTTCCTTATGAGCAGTTAAATGTGGATCCTATAATTAAACAAAATCTCAAATTTTAGTTTTAAATCTTATACAAATGAAAGCAACATATTTATGAATTTCTTTTCTACAAATCAATACGAGGGCTGTTTGGAAAGTTCGCGGCCTTGCCAATATGCGGCGCTGCGATCAATTTAATTTTTGGTGGGAATAATTCAGCCATCTTTGCTAAAGACACGATACCAATTTCCGTTTGATTTGTCAAAAAGTTTTGCCACGACAGCTTAGCAGATAGTCAGTGTGCACATGCTTTGTCAAAAATGGAGAAGACGGAGNGCTAGTAATCACCATTGACACAAAGGACACTTCTTCCTATCCATCTCAAAAAGACACAGAATTACCAACCCGTAGATAATAGTTAAAATATTTCTCAGTGAAATCTATGGATTTAATATTCCTATTAAAATTACAAATGTTTTTTGCACTGTAATGAGTCATATTATCTGTGATTGGCCAAAAATGATGCAATAATTGACCAGTTGATCACAATTGACTTGTTGGCCATTCCATCTCTTCAAGAAACAATATTGAATACTTAAATTTTTTAATAATAATATAATTGTTAATTAAAAAGTATTATAACATATAATTATTAAACATTTCAGGTTAAAATATCAAAACTTTATGGATAAAAGGTTAAGATGTGTAAATTGAATACAAAACGAACACATTAATATGCAATAATATATATTTTATTTTATAGGAATTAATGGAATGGCATCGCCCAAGATTTAAATGCTTAATAGAAGCAGAATGTGACATTCTGGCACTTGAAACCATTCCTGCAGAAAAGGAAGGAATTGCATTATTGAAATTGCTGAAAGAATTTCCTGGCACAAAAGCATGGTTAAGTTTCTGTTGTCAGGTATTAAAATGTTAAATAATTTAATAATAGTAAATTTTACATAAGGTCTGATAAGAAGTCCATTAACAATATGCTATTACTATTTTAATTTAAAAAAATTAATTTACATATAAAAAATAAGCACATCAAAATTAGAATGATTAAGAGTAGAAAGCTGGACAACTGAGTATTTGAAGTGTCAATTCTACCATTCTGGGGATAAAATTTGGGCAGTTGACAAAGCCTAGAAATTTTTCAGAGGTGATCCATCTTGGATATGTCAGGCCCATCCCTTACTTCCTGGTTTCCTCATTGTGGACCTAGCCAAACCCATGTTGGCTATGATTAAAAGGTTCCCTTAGTACATGACAAAGGATCAGGGCTATTGAGAGGGAGAATTTTAGATTTGTCTCTGAGCCTGGAGAAAACTTATGAGCCCATAGTGGTTCCTATCCCTATAAATTAATGTTATTTTTCACAATCATATGCAAATTGAAAAAATTGTAGACATAAATTTCCACTGTCATCCATCTGTCTGTCCTTCCTTAACCTCAAGAATGGAGTTAGATAGATGAAATCCAAGACGTTTGTTAATAATAATAATAATTGTTATATATGCATATAATTATTTGTTAATAATTTTATATTTTGTTGTGAATATTTCATTGTATTTAAATTTTATGTAGGTTCTATTGATGTATTGTTTTTTTGAATGTTGCATTCTTTAAAAAATGTTTGTTTGATTTCACAACTGATGAAAGTGCATAAACTTAATAAAAAGTAAAACACATCTGGATACGAGTCCAATTTTGCTTGCCATGTCTAATCACCAGGAACAACTATTTCCATTGCAGAGACAACCTTTCTTTAGAGGCTATGCCTCTGCACAAATATGTAAAACAGTTTAAAATGTGACATTTTAAACTGTTTTACATATTTGTGCAGTGTCCTGGTGATTAGACATGGCAAGCAAAATTGGACTCGTATCCAGATGTGTTTTACTTTTTATTAAGTTTATGCACTTTCATCAGTTGTGAAATCAAACAAACATTTTTTAAAGAATGCAACATTCAAAAAAACAATACATCAATAGAACCTACATAAAATTTAAATACAATGAAATATTCACAACAAAATATAAAATTATTAACAAATAATTATATGCATATATAACAATTATTATTATTATTAACAAACGTCTTGGATTTCATCTATCTAACTCCATTCTTGAGGTTAAGGAAGGACAGACAGATGGATGACAGTGGAAATTTATGTCTACAATTTTTTCAATTTGCATATGATTGTGAAAAATAACATTAATTTATAGGGATAGGAACCACTATGGGCTCATAAGTTTTCTCCAGGCTCAGAGACAAATCTAAAATTCTCCCTCTCAATAGCCCTGATCCTTTGTCATGTACTAAGGGAACCTTTTAATCATAGCCAACATGGGTTTGGCTAGGTCCACAATGAGGAAACCAGGAAGTAAGGGATGGGCCTGACATATCCAAGATGGATCACCTCTGAAAAATTTCTAGGCTTTGTCAACTGCCCAAATTTTATCCCCAGAATGGTAGAATTGACACTTCAAATACTCAGTTGTCCAGCTTTCTACTCTTAATCATTCTAATTTTGATGTGCTTATTTTTTATATGTAAATTAATTTTTTTAAATTAAAATAGTAATAGCATATTGTTAATGGACTTCTTATCAGACCTTATGTAAAATTTACTATTATTAAATTATTTAACATTTTAATACCTGACAACAGAAACTTAACCATGCTTTTGTGCCAGGAAATTCTTTCAGCAATTTCAATAATGCAATTCCTTCCTTTTCTGCAGGAATGGTTTCAAGTGCCAGAATGTCACATTCTGCTTCTATTAAGCATTTAAATCTTGGGCGATGCCATTCCATTAATTCCTATAAAATAAAATATATATTATTGCATATTAATATGTTCGTTTTGTATTCAATTGGATTTTGCAATTTGATAGAAATAACCGTCGGTATTTCACTAAAATTCTCAATCATTACTCGTTACTAATTTGGTAAAATTACTGATTTTTGTTTGTTTCAAACTTTAGCATGCTTTAGAAATAGTGCGGCTCTATATATCGTTTACTTAATAAAACTGTCTTGTATCTCCTTTTCATCAGCTTAGAAGTGGGATGTTGAAAATTAATTTTTTAGCTGTTATCTATGACATTATAGGAATGCACTGTCAAAATTTCACTACTAAGTTCAGCAGTTTGCTCTGGACCATGATGAATCAGTCAGTCAGGACATGTAATTTTATATATATACTATAGATTTTGATTAACTATTCTTAAGCAATCGTTCCTCTTATATGGTGTTCAAGCGAATTTTTTTAAAAAGGAATTAGCTTATAATATTAAATGATTATTAACACTCCAAGCAATTTTTTACTGTAGAGTAAAAAATAGATTATTGTAGTTCAATCGTCGTAATGTAAAATTGTAAAGTTTTCTAAAACATTTAAAAGAGTTTAAAAATGACTTTGAATTTTTATACAAAAAACTTTGGGAATTGCAAAGGATTAGGGTGGATTTTAGTCGATTGCTTCATAAGAGTTTCGAGTTTCTCAAAATCCAATTAAAACAGCATTATTAAATAAAGGCAACACCTGATATTCGAATATATTCAGCTATCTTTCATAATCCTGAGTGAATAATAGCTTAAAACTAACTTTAATTAATTAATTGATCTACATATTTTCTAATAACNCGTATTTTGGAAATGTTGAGTCGAATTAGTCTAGAATCGATTAATTTTATGAAAGAAAACCTTTCAAACAGCCGTAGTCCGTAAACTATGATTCCTACAAAATTGATTCATAAAGAACGGAACGTATCTACCGTCTTATAGGGGGATCTACTGTATTCAATATTGTTTCTTGAAGAGATGGAATGGCCAACAAGTCAATTGTGATCAACTGGTCAATTATTGCATCATTTTTGGCCAATCACAGATAATATGACTCATTACAGTGCAAAAAACATTTGTAATTTTAATAGGAATATTAAATCCATAGATTTCACTGAGAAATATTTTAACTATTATCTACGGGTTGGTAATTCTGTGTCTTTTTGAGATGGATAGGAAGAAGTGTCCTTTGTGTCAATGGTGATTACTAGCTAGGTTTGTCGTTATTTTAGAAATTGTTCTGTTGTACCATAAACAATTCAGTTCAGTGCAAAATGAGTGTGCAAAGAGAAATGAAACTTATAATATCTGTAACAGAAAAAAATATGATTTTTGTTGTGAAAAATGAATGGTCTCATAATTTATATCTTAATTTCTTTACCAAAAAGAAATAATCTGAAATGTTAAATATTGTGCAATACATAAATACAACGATGTTTTGAAGAATAATTTCATTAGGGTAAATATTAAGCTTTTGTGAAACAAAAATGTGCAGTAGATCATTGGTGCTTTTGACTCTGATAAGTCAGTGATTCTCACTATAAGTTAGCTGGGCCTGTTGTAAATTATAAATATGGAAACTCAATACAAATGATAACTACATAATAGTAATAATAATAACACAGATTATTAAACACCCGGATGATCATACAACAAAGACTCCAAAGGCAGTTTTAGAAAATGACACATAAAATAAACTGTGACAGAGCCATAATCACAGATAAAACAATTCATTACAATAGACCTGACATCACTCTCATTGACAAATGCAGTAAGATCCTTTATATAATAGACATCTCTCCTCCAAACACTCTTTAACATAAAAACTGCTCACACTGAAAAAAATCAACAAGTACACTCCACTCACTCAAGAAATATGACATGGAGGATGGAGAAGGTATTTATTGTACCTGTTATCTTCTCTGTCTACTCTTCCACGTACACTACGCGAAAGTCTATAAATATTAACATTAATAAAAACATGTACATGGCACTATAGAAAGTTGCAATATTGAACACACATCACATTGTTAGGAAGTTTCTATATTACACACATACCAATCTAGCCCTGGTGTTTCTGTGGCAATGTATCCACAGACCACAATGGCTGGAAAACTATAGATTCACACAACAATATCCTCACCTCACTGTCACCAAACAAAGGGTTGTTGATTAAAAAAATAATAATAATTACACACAACAACCTTATCCCACAAACAATACTCAAACTTATCAAACAACAGGGTGCTGATCAAATACATCAATAGACAGAAACATGTAACATTATTAATGAATATCATGTAACCTGTCAGGATCATACAGTAACAAGTACTGATTATAGCACACACACCACTAATGATACTACAGACACTTCCTTGTTCACCACTGATAACATAGACATAGATTTAGTTAATATGCTATCACTTATATTTCAGGAAACACTCACTAAATATACAGGTACAGATCCCAATAAAAACCATGAATACCAAAAATCAACACGTCAAAAGTAGTAGGAAAAACACTAAATTATGTACACCAAAGCAAAAGCTCGCAGCCAAAGCACATAGACTCAAACGATACAAAACATGTACACTATGAAAACAACAAAATAAGTTATTTACAAACAATGAAAAAAACTTTTACAGACAAATTAGTACGAAAACAAACACTGCTACACAGCACAGTGGCACACCAACAGAAGAACTCACAACTTATTGGTCTTCTCTTTGGTCCAGTGCTGTTACACACAATGCTGATGAAAGCTGGATTGAGGAGGAGAACAGAATACCAACTATGCCCTGTGCTGAAATAAACATACACGATGTCTGATACGCTGTTAACAGAACACACAACTAGAAGACACGTGGTATATCACAATTTCTAGTACAAAAAGTTTACCACAACAGACCAGACATCACACTCATTGACAAACACAATGAAATCACATTATAGACACATCCATTCCAAACACTCACAATATAGAAAACACATTCACTGAAAAAATTAGCAAGTACACAGAACTCACCCAGGAAATAAGGAATTTGTGGAGGATGGATAGGGTGCTTATTGTATCTGTTCTCTCCTCTACAGGTATGATACCACACACACTGCACAAAAGCCTGGGAACATTACAATTGAATAGAAATACATACATCACACTACAGATGGTCACTATATTCCTGACAATATGACAATATTGTTAGGAAATTCCTGAATACAGACACACTTATTTAATTTTTGTTTTGTTTTGGTTGCTATGCCTTGACTCTGGTCCGGCATAGTACACAGCCACCAGTGTCAACAGAATATAACTCACTAAACCCACCATAATAATAATAAATTACAATTATATAACAATTTGTACTTAAATTCATTCCATTTTCTGTCAAATTCTTTAGCTTCAATTTATAAATAAAAAATATTTTTTCTTAGAACAGATAAGTAGTATCTTTAGAAGTCTTCTCAATTAATTTAAATTAAAAGCTACATTGAAATGAATTGTAATATTGATATATTTTATACAAAAATATTTTATTAACTTTTAAAATTATCTTGTTTATGAAAATCTTTAAAACTTGCACTATATCTTAGAGTTAATTATAAATAAAAATAATGCAAAATACACACACAATTTTGTAAGGGTATTTTTATACACTTTTTGGGCTCTTGGAGTGTGAAAATGTTGAAAAATCCAAAAAACCCAAAGGGGTGAAAAATTTGACCTATCACCAAACTTTCACTATGATTCTATAATAAGAATGAAGTAAAAGTACAGCTAAATTAAAGTAACCAGTATCTTTAATAGGCAAAAACATTTTCAGAATATTTCACAGTGCAGCTTTAGCTCATCCATTTATGGAATCAGATGTACAGTACATCATTTAGAAATTTGGACATTCAATTCTAAAACAAATATGAGCTGAAGCTACACTGTGAAATAGTCTGAAAATGTTTCTTGCCTATCAAAAAGTTGTTTGTTTGTCTAATCTTAATCATCTTAAACAAATGAATGTTGCTCCAGGTCAGCTTTTTGTTAAGCCAAAGGTTTTTCTACCAATAAAAACAAAGTTGAGAAAAAAATGCATTTGTTACTTAAGAAAGATGCAAAAGCTGTTTTAGAGAGAAAAGGCATACACATCACATTTACCCAAATCTTAGTACAAAGTTACGTCAACAAACATAGTAATAAATATAAATGAAGTTACCTCACAAGTAATATTGTCAATATAATTTCCTGTATATTCTGAACCATCAGCAAAATGTACAGCATAAGGACCCACAGAACCAGCAACTAAAGTTGGACTGTTTTCTTTAAATAATAATACAAATAAAATGTTTTAAAACTAATAAGAAAATAAGCAGTTACAATTGTGGATCACTGCCGACCAGTACTTCAATAAACAGTTGTTGCATGCTCAGTGTAAGGCTTGAGAAACAATCGAAGAATCCTTTAGAAGTAGCAGGAGTCATATATAGGCTGATGTGTACATGTACAGAACAGAAATATTATATTGGAGAAACAGGAAGAAAACTTGAAGACTGAAAGAGCATGAGGTGGCAATCCGACTAAACAGAACTGAATTCCAGTGGCAACAACACTGCAGTATAAAAAACTGTATTACTGACAGAAATAATACTAAAATATTGTACAAAGTAAAAAATCGCATAAAAAGACATGTTATAGAACATTACTGTATCAAAGGATATGTAAATTGTATTAATTTAAATACCAACGCATGTGTTGATGCAATCTAGGATAGTTAATAGAGTATAAAAGTATTGGCAATGTAAGATTGTAACATCCACTGATGAGGCTGATAAGCAAATATATATGGATAAAAAAGGAAAAATAAAAATAAAGTGAGAAATACTAAATAAGTTTCTAGTCCATCTGTTTTTAATTCTATCGAAATCAAATTTAAAAAAGTGATTTTCGCTTATTATTTCTTAAGAGATTTTTTAAAGAAAAATTTTTTAGAATATATTATTTTAAAAATTTTACTGTTTAGAAGAATATTGATTTTAAATTTGTTTTAATTTATATACTGTACACTACATTCTAAATTTGAAATTTTAAACTGAGAATAGTCAGATTTTGACTGAAAATTTCTTTAATAAAAAAGATGACTTCCTGAAATTAGCAGATTTAAGCTTATTTACAAAGATGTTGCCAAATTTTATAACATCATTTCATATTTCTAAATATATTTCATTATTTATTTTTACTCTTTTAATCATATCATCATATTTCTCAAATACACTCATAACTGGTAATTATCCTACTTTTCCTTCTTTCTTTAAAACATTCCATTTTCCTCATGTTTATTTTCTTCTTTTAAAAAGTATTTTACAACAACTATTTTTGATTACATATTATATATATATATATATATATATACATGCAAATGCACACATACATTTATAATATGTATTATATATTAATGTTTGAAATAAGGCATTCTTATGTGTTGGAGTTGAGTTATGAATTAATAGCTCCTGAAGATGAAAGTACAGTACATAAGTACTCAGAATTAAATAATAGAATTATAAATTGTTTGGACTACAAGAAAGTCAGTTTGGTTCATTACAATTATTGAAGTTCGGAGTCATTAAATAACGTACTCCAAGAAGTTTAGAGTCGGGATTTGTAAGATGAATAAAGTTTTTTTATAATTGATATACTGCCCTTTCACTCTGAAGTGCTCTTTCATTAATCTACATTAATTATTGTATGAGGTTATTTAGATTATTAAGAATGAGAAGTCTAGAGTCTGCCCCTGAAAAATTTTTGAATTATAATGTATCAGTACATACAAAACAGTATTAAAATGTTTGATATTTAAACATTACATTAAATAATTTTCTAAACAATATAAATAATCAAACAGAATTTTGTCATTTGGAACAATAGACAGAGATAGAACAATCATTTGGAACAATAGACAGAGATAGAACAATCATTTGGAACAGTATACATATATATGATGAATTAATCTTTTTCCCAAATTAGTCTTTGATGAATTTTTCATTGAACAACATACTTTATATTTGGTTTGATGCAAACTTTACTTCTGGGGAGACTATAACTCACTTCATACAAAATTCTCTGTTAAAAAACATACAAGCAACTTTAACTTGTACCATACTGCATGCAGTATAAATATTCTTGTTCAGTGACTACATTGCATTAATGTTGGATCTTTGCCAAAACATTATTTAATTGTTTACTCTTAATATGACAAATCCATTGTGTCTAAGTACCATAACATAGTTGATACACCCGTAAGGTAATATGATTTATTTTTAACATTTTTATCACACAGTGTCTGTTACAAAAAAATTGAGTTTTATACTTTTGTTGATAAAATTAAAACTCTTTAATGAAATCAAATCTCTTTAATTTCTTTATAAATACAGTATTTGTTCATAAAGTACATATATAATAAATAGTTAATATGCACAATATATTTTTTAGTTTAAGCAAGGCACTGAATCTATGAGCAAATGCAAATAATTTAAATTATATCTATCTAATTTTTTATATTGCTCTGTTTTGGTTAAAATCAGTTCACAGAGCTGCTGCTTAACCACTCTCCATACATTGTCTATGAAGATAATGTCTGGTGAGCTGCAGACCACAAGATGACATCTAATCCATCCTTCAAACTAAACCAGTTGCAGTTGAAATTTGAAGGTTTCATCATCTCAAATCCATTTCTTCACTTGCTTGATGATTGCTGGACTTGTTATGTCAACTAAACCAATAAATTACACTCCAAAACGGGAATATCTTACAAAAATACAGATACAGATCTAAAACCAGCACAAATTAACTCAAAATAGTACTTTTACTAATGTGTGTGTGTCTATGTTTATGTACGATATTCCAGTTTTGGAGCTTAATTAATTAACAAAAGGTGGCTTTGTCAGCCAATTTCTATCATAAATGTGTTCTAATGTATTATACCTGAGAATGTCAGATAGACACAAATGTTCGTAAAGTACTATTTTGAGTTAATTTCTACTGGTTTTAATTGAACAAATTCCTCGATCGAAGTTGTTCATTCTTCAATAGCACTACAGTACTTTTCAGTTATCTAATTCTGTTGACATTATTATTTTTCATTCCATCAGCAAATAAATAAAATGACAAAAATTTTGCTGACTCATCAAAAGTATATTACATACCTTATAAATAGAGGGCAATTTATTTTAATTTCAGTCCATAGTTTTAAAAAATTATTATAATTTTGCTTAAATATATCAGTGGCTCAATTTGTTTGTAAGAGATTGTATTTTACACTTAATATAAAGTTATTTATATATTCTAAAGTAGTATAATTCAGTTTTACTGTAAAGCTTTTAACTCGCTTAGTATCTTCACTTCGACCTTTACCATTTGATAACTGGACAGCCAAGTGGCTAAGGTAACCT